GCACTGCAGCAGCAGCAGCAGACGCAGCAGCAGCAGCAGACGCAGCAGCAGCAGCAGACGCAGCAGCAGCAGAACAGGGGGCGCAACGCAGCAGGGTTGAAGCCCAATGCAGCGGAAACCCTAATTTAGGGTTTAGGAGTGCGGGGGAGGGCTGGGGGCGCAGAACTCGCGTGAGGCGCTGCCGCGCGGGGGCACCTAGGGTTTAGGGTTTAGGGTTTAGGGTTTGGGCGGACCCGGACGGCCTGGGCGCGGTACTTTTCCTTGAGAATGCTTCTGTTGAGTTTGATGTAAGCAAAAGGGTCTAAACCCTTTTTTCTTAAATCTCCAGAAGCCCTTTTGGCTTTAAACTCTTCGCCGCTGCGCTGCACAAAGTGGCCCCCACTTTGCTGCTGCCGCAGCTGCCGCAGCGCTGCTCGCCGCGCTGCCAGGCAGCTCAGGTTCGCCCCCTTGCTGCTGCTGCTGCTGCTGCTGCTGCGCGCGGCACCTGCAGCAGCAGCAGCAGTCCTGCCCTGCACGCGCAGCAGCAGAACGCAAAAGCAACAGCAAACGGCACGCAATCCCCACCACACCTCTGCTGCTGCTGCTGCTGCTGCTGCGCGCGGCAGCAAAGCGAGGCGTAAGGGATCAGCTCCGTCCCAGGGTTTAGGGTTTAGGGTTTAGGGTTTAGGGTTTAGGGTTTAGGGTTTGGCTTGCTTTGAGGCCCTTGCGACGGCTCGAAGCTGGCGTTTCCTTCCCTATGGAGAACTTCGGTGCTGCGCGCAGACACAAGAGCCAGCCTGCACATCAATACTCAGCAGCAGCAGCAGCAGCAGCAGCAGCAGCGACAGCAGCAGCAACAGTAGGGATAGCAACAGCATCAGCAGGTCCAACAGCTGCGCAAAAACAGCAGCAGCAGCCGCAACAGCAGCAGCAGCAGGTCCAACAACTGCGCAACAACAGCAGCAGCTGCGGCGACAACACGAGCAGCAGCAGCAGCAGCAGACCGTTTGCATCATTTTTTGGATCCTCTTCTTCTTCGGAAAGCAAAATCTTTCCCTCGGAATTGAGTTTAAGTTGGCTGAACTTTAATTCCCTCTTTTGGCCTTTTGCTGCTGCTGCAGTGCGGCGGTCTTTGCGGGGCTGCTGCGCTGCTAAGATTTGCTGCGCCGCGCTGCTGCAGCAAAAGTCCAGCAGCAAATCCGTGGGATCGTCTCCTCCCGCAGACTCAAACACACTCAGTCCTGTTGCTGCTGCTGCTGCTGCTGCACGCCGTTTCCGCTGCAGCACCAGACGCCCCCAAACCCTAAACCCTAAACCCCAAACCCTAAACGCGGTGCCAGCAGCACCCAGCATACACAAGCCGCCGCTCGCCTCAACACCCCCAAAAACCCTAAACCCTAAACCCTAAATCCTTAACCCTACACCCAGTAGGCAACATGCAGCAGTGCATACTAAGCGCTGAAAAGCAAACCCTAAACCCTAAACCCTAAGTGATGGACACATTAAACCCTAAACCCTAAACCCTAAACCCTAAACCCTAAACCCCAGGGTAATGCAGCACAGGCACTTCAAGAGAGCCAAGCTCACTGCAGGGAAGCTGCTGGGCGTCCGTGTGCGTTCCAAGCTCAGCTGCTAGGGTTTAGGGTTTAGGGTTTAGGGTTTGAGCGCTCACTCTGCCCCTTCTGTCGTCTTCGCTGTCTTCTTCAAAAGCATCCAAAAGGGACTTTAGGCCCACCGCCTCCGGGCCGCCAACCTGCGCCCCCAAACCCTAAACCCTAAACCCTAAACCCTAAGCCTGGAGCCCGAGAGAGCCCTGATGCGCACAGCTCAGCCGCTCGGCTCGCAGCGCTTCACCACCGGCTGCCGCCACACAAAAGCCTCTAGGGTTTAGGGTTTAGGGTTTAGGGTTTGGCTCTCACGTGTTCAATTCTTTCTTCTTTTTCTTTTTCCTTTTCTTCTTCTTCTTCTTCTTGTTCCGTCTCCGAATCAGTAAACCCTTTTCGTTCTTCTTTAGAGTCTTCGCTCTCGTCTTCAGACTCGCCCGTATCCTACAACAGCGCAAACCCTAGACTCTAAACCCTAAACCCTAAACCCTAAACCCTTAACGCTTCTCAACGCCTACCTACCGAAGCTGCCTGGGCGCCGCGAACGCGGGTTCACCAAGACTGGGGACTGAGGGTTTGCCGCCGGCGCCTCAAGCTTAGGTCCTAGGGTTTAGGGTTTAGGGTTTAGGGTTTAGGGTTTGGACCTTGAGGGTCTGGCGAATGAGGCGGCGAACAGTGCGCCGCCTCTCAGTGCGAAGCAGATGACGCAGCAGAGGCATGTGCTCTTCAGGCATTGCCTTCTCCACAGCTTCTTCCCCCTGAAACAAACCCTAAACCCTAAACCCTAAACCCTAAACCCTAAACCCTAAACCCTAAATCCTAGACCCTGAACCCTCGATTTGCGCCTTTTGCAGCGCACAGAAACCGGCGGCGAACCGCCCGCACCCAACAATGCGGGACGCAAACCCTAAACCCTAAACCCTAAACCCTAAACCCTGAACCCTAAACCCTAAACCCTAAACAGCAATCCTGTAGCCTGGGGCTGTGGGCACTGAGCAATTCCTCCGGGGGAATGGCCATTAAGGGTTTAGGGTTTAGAAAACTTACCATGACTTTGCAGAGCTTTTCTATCAAGTGACGGATCTTCATGCGAGCTGAACCCAACACACACCCAAAACCCTAAACCCTAAACCCTAAACCCTAAACTATGAACGAAACCCTGCTGCGGCTGTCCTGCAGCAGACACTCCAGGGGTCCTGACAAGCGCTGCCGGGCAAGGGTTTAGGGTTTAGCAGGGTTTAGGGTTTAAGCAGGGTTTAGGGTTTAGGGTTTAGGGTGGAGGTACCTTTGGGGGCATTAGGGTTTTTCAAAACCCCCAACATTGAGGGCAGCCAAGCCGCGAGGTCGTCCATATCCCCAGCACGAATGCAAGCCTGAAACCCCAAACCCTAAACCCTAAACCCTAAACCCTAGACCCCAAACCCTAAACCCTAAACGCTAAACCTCGAACCCCAAAATTGAAGCCCAAGACCCCAGAGCCCCAGCAGCGTCGCACAGCATGCAGCCTTTGCCGCTTCGGAGCAAAACAAAAATTAGGGTTTAGGGTTTAGGGTTTAGGGTTTACCTTCGCAAACTGAATGCCAGCAACAAAGGCAATTTTGTTATGGTCCTTCAGCAGCAAAAGGCCCACAGCTGCCCACTGCTGAACTAAGCTGTGGGGAAGCTCCCCGCCTGAAACCACAAACCCTAAACCCTAAACCCTAAACCCTAAACCATAGAGGCTAGGCCAAGTGCAAAGACCAGCCAATCCAGCC